ATAATTGGGACTTTTGAAAAAATGTTTACTATTAGGTACTTTGCATCGTTTTTATCTCTATATATATGACTTCGATGAACATTGCTATTCGATTCATTCAAATATATATTCATCAAATTTTGCTGCATTGAAACTTTTGAATTTTCGTTTAATATTTTGACTTTGATAATCATTTAAATATTCGATTTTTCAGCTAATTCACGTTGTGATTTACTATTATAACTGTTATGAGCATTAGTTAGTGAACAGTAATTTTAGTACATTCGCTAGAAATGATGAAAGAATATAGATATCACATATAATCTTATTTCTTGTAATTTGAAATACATTAACATAAACTAAAATATATTCACAAGTTTTCGTTCTAATCCTTAGAAATAGAACAATACAATGGTAGTCTTATCAGAGGTATATGTAGTATATTTCAACTGTCAAGTATTATCCATGATAGATAATCATGCAATACTATTAACACATGTTAGTCAATGATATTTTGCACATGACGAGAGTTTTTTTTGCACATTCACTTTCTCAAACAGACCGTTCTAATATATGAACTACTTTTGGGTTGCATCCCTTCAAGATTAAGTAAAAAGATAGTGAAGAAACGTGCTCCGAAATAGGAAGAATAAAGCAATTCTCCCTGTGATATTAGGAAGGACAGCTACGTCGTGTTTCACATTTTATTTCCACAGAAATAAGAGAAAATGTATATACGTAACAGGAATTTTTCTTTTGTTAATTGTTATCAAAAGAAGAAACACATTAACAATTATTCTTGTTTAAGATAAGCAAAAGTCAAATAGCCTGTATGACCAGGCATTACTAATGGACCAATAGCTGTCAACGTTGATTCTATTTCTTGTGGTTGTCTTTTAGTTGTTGTTTCTGAATCATTTTTAAGTTTTTTATTTGTCTTTGTCTCTTCATCATTATCATCGTCGTCATCGTCATCATCGTTTGCTTCTCTTTTCTGTGATTTTATGGCTTCTTGATTTTGATCAGCAGTAAAACGAATTTTACTTCGATGTTGATAACGAAATTCATGTATACGACGTAAGCATTCAACTGTATTAATTTCTTCAAAACCATTCATACGTAATCGTTGACAAGTACGTTGAACTTGTTCAATACATGGTGAAAATGTACATAGACGACCACCTAAACAAAATCAAACAACAACAAAAAAAAAAGAAAATAAAGAAAACAGAAAGTATCCTTTTTATACCAATTTTCTTCAGAACTTTCATCACATGTTCTATAGCATTCCATGGTGCTGGTAGATCAAGAAAGACTGCATCAGCTATATTTTCATGTTCGAAACCATTTGAAAGCACATCACGATGTTGAACTGTAACAAATTGTGAAAGACCATGTTCCTAAATGAATAAAACAAAAAATTATCGAAGTCACTAGAAAATCAAATTCGGCTTACCCGAATATGTTTACCTCAAATTCATTTCGAGCTAAATTTGAACGAAGTTCATGAAATTCAAATGTATATAAATGACCATTTGGACGTAAAGAACGTATAATTGAATGAGACAAAGATCCACTACCAGTTCCTAATTATCAACAAAATCCTTTTGTTTTTGCTAAATTCATTTTTTTTTTGGTATAAAATCTAACCTGCTTCAATAACAATCGAACCTGGTTTAATATCTAATTCAAGTAGAATTAAACTAATATCAGCCATATAAAGAATTTGTGTACGATGTGGTAAGGCTAATGTCCATAATTCTATGTTAATAATATGCAATATTCTATTGATTTTGTTTAATTTCATTTACCTGGTATGACTGATAATGCATGCACATAACCTTTTGTACATATAATTTTACTTCCATATTCTTTTCCAATTAAATCATTATGTTTTAAAGCACCAAATTTTGTTTGATATACTTCATTTGCTTTTACTTTAATAACATGTAAATTATTATATCCCAAATAAAGTATAACTTTTGAACCTTCTTGAATTAAATTTGTCATAGTCCTTTTCTTTTAATTAGATCTAAAATAATTTCTAATCATCAGTTTTTCTTTGTTTTTATTTAGAGAAACAAGATAATGATTCGATGCAAAATAAAAACAAAACAAACAACTGATTATGTTGAAGAAATTTCTTGTACTGTTTTCAGAGGCAATAATTTTTCTTCAAGTTCATCAGGTTTAAACACGCCATGTTCTGTTATAATACCCGTTATCAATTGAGCAGGTGTTATGTCAAATGCTGGATTCCATACTTGAACACCTAAAACATAGAAATAAAAAACAAAGAGATAAAAATTCATTTATGGATATTTTACCTTCTGCAGCAATATTTATCCCTTTGACAGTTGTCATCTCTATTGATGGGCGTTGCTCAATAATAATTTCATCTCCTGTTTGTTTAGTTAAATCAATTGATGTTGTTGGTGCAGCAACATAAAATGGAATATGATGATGTTTAGCAAGTATAGCTAATTGATAAGTACCAATTTTATTAGCTGTATCACCATTTGCTGTTATTCGATCAGCACCAACAACAACAGCATGAATAGGTTGTTTTTGCATTAAAAGACCAACCATTGAATCACAGATCATTGTATGCGGAATACGATCATGTAATAATTCATAAGCAGTTAATCTTGAACCTTGATTATATGGTCGAGTTTCTGTAAAGTATACCAATTGAAGAGCACCATTTGCTACTAATTGTCGAATAACACCAAGAGCTGTACCAAAACCAGCAGTTGCCAATGAACCAGTATTACAATGAGTTAAAACATTTAATTTTTTTTTAATAGAATTAACTTGACTAATAGCTTCAGCACCATAACGACCAATTGATCGATTATCAGATAGATCACGTTCAAGAAATTGTTCCATAAAATTTAGTAATTCATCAATATATGCTGATAAATTTTCTTGTTTATTATTTAATGGAATTAAATAATCAATTATCGTTTTAGCAGCATCTGCCATATTTACTGCAGTTGGTCGAGCAGTTAATAAATAATTAAGTTGGTCAGTCACAAACTGTTGAACTGATGAAATTGAATCAAATTTCAATCGAGAATGATTTAGTTCAACAGCAAGACTTAAAACACCGCATACAGCAATTGCAGGAGCACCTGGAAAAACATATGATCTTATTTATTACTTAGGCTTCTATCGAAAATCAGAAAAATAAATCTTGAATATAGAAAAATTATGTTTCTGTTACATCTTTAAGATTACAAAACTAAAGCAAAGCGAGACTTTTCGTATTAGTCAATGTTTTTTTTTCTCTTGAAGCACTTTTAACAATAAATATAGAATTTATGGTTCGAACAAACTTATTTAGATATACATATGAATAGTAAAAATATTTCGATAGACTCAGGAACACTGGCATTGATTAATTCTGAAATTATCTTTTTTGATGTCTAGTATATAATCGACTATGTGCACAAAAATAAAAAACTTCGCTACTTCGAACACTCAAAAATGTATTCTAGCCATTTGAGTTTTCAGCAAGACTTTGGTGTATTCTTAAACTGCCTAAGCCTTGTTGTTAATACCATTTAGCATCTTTTTACTGTTGCTAACCAACTGTAGGAAAATAGTTTGATGCGTTTTGTTCTTTCTGCTATGGAAACGTACATACCAAACATTGACTTGTGCTTCTTACTATTTCAAATAGATCCGAGCAGCTATGAGAGAGAGAGAGAGAGAAGAAAACATCGAATTATCAATTACACTCACTATTTTCCTTCGCTAAATATGTAAGTTTCACAAAATTTTATACGAAGATACAAAATGTTGATTCATTTTCTGAGTGTTTTTTAATAAAGTCTTGAATAATATTAGTTAATATGAAATGCGATTCGTGAAGCGTAAAATGTCATATTAACCAAAGTGATTCGAAAATTTATTTAAACATTTTATGTCTTCATAAAATTTGATGTGTGTATTATAAGCATCTAAGTACTCTTGTTATGTTCATACATATATATATTTACGTCAATTTGTTCTAACCATAACCTCTATATCAGACAGGAATGTGGTACCGATTGTCAAAACTCCAGACTAGTTCCATCTCTGATATATGTCATCAGTTTTTCACTAAACAGCCATTATTGAGAAATAGGTTGATTACAAAACCAGAAAAAACTAATATTCTGAGAACAATATATATTCTACCAAGATTCAATCCATTCATTTAACAACAATTAGTTTCAGAAATAAGTTGCGAAACTCCCACAATTAAATAACTTTTATCAATAATGAACTGATATGTTTTTTTGAGATTAAAATATATATATATATATCATCGTGATATAGTTTAGTCATTTACTTGACTCCACTATATAATCAACTTTCAGTATGTTAATCAGTCTGACCTGCCTGCTTAGACCGATTTCATATCTACTCTATATTTTATATCCAACATATGATTTTCGAGTATTACCTCGTTGGTAGAGTAGATAGTGAAGTTAGACATGAGTGCAACTTCTCTATAAAATATCAATCAATGTACAGTTACATCTAGACAAAATGTATTGTTAAACTTCTTGTCATTTATTTCAGTTAGTTTATACCTCGTATTGACATTGTATGAATAGCTTTCCATGCATCGTCAACTGAATTAATAGGAATATAGATTGATTCATCGGGTAATTTTAATTGATCCAAAATTAATAATGAACCACGTTGATAACAAATAGCGTTTAATGTTTGATCGTCTTGCATAACTAAAATTTAAAAATAAATTTTCAAATAAGGGTACACTTAATTAATTTGTTAAATAGTTTGATCTATTTTGTTATGAATTTCACATCATATATAGGAATGAATAAAAACATAAGGATGAGACACAAAAACACAATATAATCATAATACAATAAAATATTCATGAAAGACAAAAAAATTCAAACAAAAGCAATAAGAACAGATCATGAATGCATTATTTTTGAAAAGCCATCAAGTTTATAATAAGAGATTCTTTAAAATTTTGCTTTTTGAGATCATTGTTATTTTTATGGAGAGAGAATATCATCATCACGCATATCTGGTCCTGATTCATCAAGAAAATATCCAGCACGTGGTGATGTTCTTTCACAACGACAACAAAATTCACATCCATCAGCAGCCAAATTACCCAATTTACGCCACATTTCTAAATTTGGAATATGTTCAATACCACGAGCACCATGCTTTATATGCATAAACACAGCTCCGACAACTAAATAAGCAGTTGCTACACTGAAAAAACTAAACAAAAGAATATCGTTCATTAAAAAATAACTTTGTCAAAAACTAAATATAGACGTTTACATAATAAGAAAGATAGCACTACCACTTAATTTGTTATTTTTTTCTACAGGTGGACACATTTCTGGAACTTGTAATTGAAACATATAGTTGCAATGACGATCAGTACTTGTATGCGCTTGAAGAACCGTGAGATTAGCCTAGAGAAACAAATAATCCAAATTTTGTACAAGGCCTTTTTTTGACATGAAAATAACCAACACTTTTGTTAGCTCTCGTTTTGGGGATTATGTAGCAATGGTAGAACTAATATTTAGTCTGCCAAAATTAGAGAGCTAAACATGTTTTAATAATCGACTTTTTCGTCGTGTCATATATAGAATATATTGAGTATCGAGTGATCGATACNATGTCGATAAAATACAACAGGATCAATAGCAATGCGCCGAAAATGAGCATGCCATGCTCTTGATTCATATCGTTTTCCGGCCATTTGATATTTAGCAAAAATTTGTATAAGATGCTCCAAACGTTCATTATCATCACATAGAAGAATATCGTTTATCGATTTTGAATTTGACATACTTGAATATTCAAACGAACTACTGTAGTTATTGAATTAGATTGAATATATTTTTTACTGTGAAAAAATTCAGTCAAAAATTGTAGGTATTTATAATATAAAACTGACATAGATGTGATGACGACATATCATTTGTGACACATTTTCGTTGGCGAGAATGTCATGCTTTATGATTCAGTACTTATGTTTGCTGCATGATTCTTTTTTCCTTTTACCTATTTTCTTCCTCATTTATTATGAAAGTGAGCGTAATGTGTATAGTGAATACATGCGTAGGTACATAGGTTTATTGCATGTGGTCATAAACATGGAAGTGAATGTGGGTTTAACGGTAAACCCGAAAAAAACAATATCACTCATTTTTCCTTAAGTATTTATTTCAAGTCGGTTTTTCTTCCTTTTTTAATACTTGTTTATGAATTTTCAAAAAACATATGAGCAATTATATATTTGTATATATTTATTTTATCCTTCCATATATTCCGAATTATAAAGTTTTTTAATTAATGATGCAAGATCTTGATTAACAGCCTATTGTACATATACAGGCATTTCTTCTCATCGTCCATCATGAATTTTTTCAATTACACTTCGAAAATGTGCAATATCATCGAATGATATTTGTAGTTTTGTAGCAAAGCTATCAATATTTTTTGCCACTAAGAAAAATAAAAATAAAATATTTTACCTGAAAATACTGATGCTCATGCGCCTAACCAAAATGACTTACTTTTTTTAATAATATTTGAAAATTTTTCACTAAATAAAAACGTAAATAATCGTGAATCATGTAATACATCTTCAGTATGAAAAGTTTTCAATATTTTCTTTTGCTGGTGGTTTAACTAGCAAAGGAAAAAAGAAGAAAAAAACATTATAATTTTTTGCTTTAATAATATAGAAAAATATCTATTTACCTGCAATACATGTTTCTTCATTTTTATCAAGATTACCAAGACAATCACCTGCATGACCATTACAAATAATTGCAAAGCAACAGATCGTTTACTTTGTGGACATTGAAATGGCTCCGATGGATCAATACATCCTAACTAAAAACAACAAAAAGACATAATTGATATCAAATTAACCTTTTCTTTGATTATTATACTCAACAGACAAAATTAATTATAAATACTTTTTGTTTGTATAGAAAAAATTTAAGACTAGCCCATAAGAAAAACAATGATAATAATATGTACCTTTAAATTTATGACTTGTTTTTAAAGTACCGAATGGTAACGCTGGCGCACGAGCTTCAGCTGCACTACCAGGCGGTCTTTTTTCAAACCATCTTCTTAATCAATCATTTTGTTTATTAGAATCAGTATACTAATGTCGCCGTACGCTATTGGCAGGTGACCGAGCAAATTCGGCACTAGAATCTACTTGCATAAGAACCATCAACGAGGAAATAATAATAGTATGTTGCGATGAGGTTGATTTTGTCATTGTTGTTGTGCTGTTGTTAGCTAATCTTATGAAAAGGTGAAAAAATGCTAGAAATTAATAAAAACAAAGGAAACGTGAGAAGTGGTGATTTTTTTGTTTAGATTGATTTAATTTCGTATATGAATAAACACAAATTTCTATTTGCAATATTCAGTGATTTTTATCTATAATATTAAAGACAAAATATGAATTATTTTCGGAAGAAAATCTCTTAATGTGACATAATAAGCAGTTTTGCCATCAAAGAAAAACAAAATTAATAAATCTCGAAGAATTCTTAATAAATAAATAGGGAACCAATCATAAATGGTATCCAAACTAGCACTAGCAAGGGGTGAGTCAAAACTAGATAGAACTGAGATGGGAGCCGAACATTTCTGCACGTCGAGACTAGTGACGTATAATAAGACCGCAAGAAGAGGTTTTGTCGAGACCATGCACCACGCGAAAGAGAAGTTGCTGAGATCTGGATCAAAACTACTAGAAAAAGTTTGTTTCAAACGGAACTAAAGATTACAGTAGGGATGCACCGGTTCCGGTTTCAGAACCGAAACCAATGGAACCGATGGAACCAGAAGCAGTCAGAATCGATTGCCACCATGCACAGAGTAATCGGAAAATCGAAAAATCCAATGATGATTAATTGGAAGGATTGTGGTTGTGTTTCCTCTTTCTATAACGAGAATTAGAATTTTTAGTGCTAACTCCTACGGACGAAAACACTGTTGTGTGCAATTGTTGAATAGCACTCAATTAGTGGCAATATCCTGAACGAACCTTGTATGTGACTAGGGATCCAAAGGTGGCGATCACTCACCAGTATACGGTCACCGTTTCATCGGTCCAACTACGATAACCGTACTTACGGTTATCGATCCAACTATGGTACCTACCGTTACCGGTTTTCACGAAGGAAATGACTGTTTCAGAAAAATAACGATTTTCTATAAAGGTTGACGAAAGTAAATCAGGGTTGGAGGATCCGAATCTGAAATCGGTTTTTCGAAATTTTGAGTTCGGATTTCCCAGCAAAAAAAACTCTTTCGGGAAGTCACGTTTTCTCTTGAAAGTTTTTTCCAGGAAGAAATGATTTTTCTCCTAAAAATACATTTTATGTTGAAAAGCTGTTAGCGCAATCCCTTGCGGGATTAAAAATGTGAAACACGATGGCTCTATTATTACTAATTAAATGGAAATCCTTTTCTTCCATTACGTTGCGATACATTTGTAGTTAACCGTTAATCTGATGCTTTACAACTACAGTTTCTCTGTCACGCTCTGGGATGGGTACCTGAATTCTCTGTCACGGTCTGCGATGGGTACCGGGGTTCTCTGTCACGGTCTGTGATGGGTACCTGGATTCTCTGTCACGGTTTATGATGGGGAAATTACCTGTCTGTAACGGTCTGCGACGGGGGAATTATCTGTCTGTAACGGTCTGTGACGGGGGAATTACCTGTCTGTAACGGTCTGTGACGGCGGAATTACCTGTCTGTAACGGTCTGTGACGGAGAAATTACCTGTCTGTAACGGTCTGTGACGGGGGAATTACCTGTCTGTAACGGTCTGTGACGGGAGAATTACCTGTCTGTAACGGTCTGTGACGGGGGAATTACCTGTCTGTAACGGTCTGTGACGGGGAAATTACCTGTCTGTAACGGTCTGTGACGGGGAAACTACCTGTCTGTAACGGTCTGTGGGGGGG